CAAATAAAACCCTCAGGAACAGTAGTAGGAGTAACAATATCATGAGGGTGGGGGGGCGGGGGAAAGGAGGAGGAAGGGGGAACCCATCACAAGGTTGAACATATAGCCCACCCCCCAGGGGTACGAATAACAGAAATGTGGGTGAAGGGAGACAATGGACAGTGTAAGACATGAAATAACAACAATAATATAAAATTGATCAAGGATTCACGAGGGTGAGATGGTGGGTGAGGGAAGGGCAAAAAGAGGAGCTGATATCAAGGGCTCAAGTAGAAAGAAAATGTTCTGGAAATGTTGATGGCAATTGAATGATGGATTGTCATAAGATTTGTAAGAGCTCACCAATAAAATGATTAATAACATTAAAAAACAATAATTATTTGTATTATATAAACTATGTTCTCTGACCCCAGTTCGATTAAATGAAAACAGTAACAAAAAATTATGCTTTAAAAAAATCTATATATCCATGTCTTTTTTTCTACATACCGTTCCCCACTCAAAAATAGCAAGGCTCCAACTGGGCAGCAAAACTACAAGATGAGCTTGAAAGTAAAGTACTAAAGTGTCAAAGGCACAAAGAATGAAAAAGATGTTTGACTGCCATTGGCTGAATCTATGACATTTTGAACATTAAAATAAAGAACTGTAACAACATTTGTGAAATAAAGTAAAAATATGAGTCCATACTAATGTAAATAACTAAATGGAGAATAACAGCTCTTAAAGTTTAATATAAACTAATAAATGTGGGAAAAGTATGGAGTCTGAAAATTAACATTTTGCAGTCATGTCAAGAATCATCAACAGTTACTAAAACTAGTAGAAGATAGTTTGATGAAAAACAGAATATTTATACAAACTCACTCACAAGTATCCCTTGCAAAATCATTTAACTATAAAAAAGGAAATGGTAACTTTACAGTGGTATTTAACAAACACCATCTTTTTTTTGTTGCTGATAATGAAGTTTATTTATTTATTTTTTAATCGTTTTACTAGGGGCTCATACAACTCTTATCACAATCCATACTTACATCAATTGTGTAAAGCATATTTGTACATTCATTGCCCTCATCATTCTCAAAACATTTGCTCTCCACTTAAGGCCCATCTTAACCAAATAATCGAAGTTAACATTATACTTAAGGGGTCAAACCTGCTTCAGGTGCCCTTGATATGATGTACTGAGAAAACCACAATAGGACTTTTTGGTGTTCCTGTCAATATGCATAATGTAAACCTCACTAAAGAAGAGGCAGAAAAACGTAAATTGAGCGCCATTTTACAAAATAACTCTTTTGTATGTTTGTGTTCATTAAAAGGCTAAAGGATTGTTCAGATTAAAGAGTAAATGAAACATGACAACTAAGTGAAATATTTGTTCTTGGTTTGGACCTTTGAATAGTAAAAACAAATAGCTATAAAAGGTATTATTGGGACAACTGATGATACTGGAATATGGTTAAGATCATAATACTCAATCAATGTAAAATTTGTTGATTTTCACACATGTACTGTGATTATGTAAAAGAAAGTCATACTTCACAGGAAAAAAATTACTGAAGATTCTAGGTATAAAGCAGCATGCTGTCTGTAGTCTTGGAAACCCTATATAGGGTCACTATGAGTCAGAATCAACTCAAGGGAAGTGTATTTTTTTGGTGTTTGTCTGAAAATTACTCTCAAATCATTTATAGAGAGACAGAGACAGGCAAAATAAAGAGTGATGCTAATGTGCCAAAATGCTAATTGATGAATCTGAATAAAGGGTATATGGAAGTTATTTATAATATTCTTATGATCAATAGGCTCAAACATAAGAACAATTGTGAGGATGGCACAGGTCTGGGCTGTTTTGTTCTGTTGTACAAAGGTTCACTACAATTTGGAGCCAACCCAACAACAACAATAACAACAAATAAATGAATAAATAAAAAATGTTAAAAACACAACTATTAAAAATCAGTATTAAGTTCTTCATGGTGTACTTAAACAACACTCTTCCTATTTAATTAATGAAAAAAATCTAATACATTGTCAAAATGTATTGGGATGAATAGCTAGTGTATAATTTTACTTTTTGTTTCAAGAAGCTAGAAAAACCTTAAACATTTTAGGAAATAAGATGGAATTTAACTGTAATAGTAATACCATAAAATATTTTTCTTGCATAAACGGGCTAGATATCTGAAAATAAAAACAAACAAGCAAACAAATAATTCATGAGACTGTGTAATCAATGTGCCAAGGAAATGAAATCATTCTGCAACCCCTCAATGACTGAAAAACTATAAAATAATTTATTTTGTTACTGTCTATCTCTTTTCTCGGGCCTACTCAAGTCCTTGGCCTCCATATTGCCCCCATTTCAAAGACGTGTTCCCGTAAAACAGTTGTATATACGATTATAGCATTAGAGGGAGTATATGGCATAGCAGTCAAGGGCATAGACTTTAGACCTAGGTTGTCTGGGTCCATAGCCCAACTCTGCCAGTTATACAGGTTCCATTGGCCTTAATTTCTGTTTCTTCCCTCAGTTAATGCAAACATAGCTAGTAGAATTGTAATAATGAAATAAGTTAACACATTTTATATCCCTTTAGAACACTGTCTGATACATACAGTGTTCAGTAAATATTGGTAATTCTCAAATTTTCAATGATATTACTCACCATAGTAAATTATGTCGTTCCTACACTTTTTGCTTTACATGACTTCTCTTTTATCTGAGCTTTGATATCCCCACACACACACCACTCCCTTAAGTAGAAGTAAAGATGAAAAGAATAAATTTGTATGAAAGGAGATTCAAGTCAAACCCTATATAGATGCTTTCAAGTGAAACAGAACTCACTCTTTTTGCAAGCATTACCCATAAGATCCAAGTCCACAGTCTCCTTGGTTACCACTTGCTCAAACATATGTTTCACTACTACTATCTATGCTAACCCACATGAGATGAACATGAGTAAGAATTTTGGCTATCTATCCCCTAAAGCTCCTAGCACAAAGCCTAGTCCATTGTAAGGACTCCATAAAGATGTGCTGCATGACTTTGGATTGCAAGGATCTGTGAGACTTAGGTCAAATTTAGTTTCACATTTCTAAAAATTCTGTAAAGTTCAACTAAATAGATTATTTCTCTAATAGTAAAAACAACTCCTAAATGATAATGGTCATGCAATGTAGCACATGTAACCAATGTCACTGAATAACTTGTATAAAAATTGCTGAATAGGAACCTAAACTGCTGTGCAAACCACCAAAAATGCTTAAATCACTTGCTTAAAAATATTCTATGATTGTCACTGCTTATGGAATAAGCTGTATATTCCTTAGTATGGCATTCAATGCCGCACAATACTCTAAATTCCCCTCCTAGTCCTCATAGATTGAATTATAGCCAGAATAGACTTATCTAAGCCTTTGTTCTAGAAACCTCAGGCCTGGAAAGTCTTCCCTCCCACTCCACATGGCAGATGTCATGCACCCTTTAAGGCCCACTGAAAGTTCCTCTTTCCTCTTTGATGGCTCAAGATTATAAGCAGTCCTTGTAGTTCTGTCTGTCTGTCTGTGTATGGAATATGTACATAAATTAGAAGCTGGTTATGTATTCATCAACTGTTAGTCAAATGTTTTTCTCAGTATATCTAGCAGCTGTTACCAAACTTATTTGGTCTATCTCTACCTTTTCAGAAAAAATAAAATTACCCAAAGTTCCCTTGGCAATTAAAAAACATTTCTTCCTCAGCCCAGAAACCCATTCATCCCCTAAAAAGATCGTGTGTGTTTGTTGTCCACATTATTAAAGAGGTTCTTTTTAATTCTCAAAAAGAAATTTATTATAGCCTATAATCCAGAATAAAATGTAGATATCTGCTTTTGCAGCCCACCTTGATCATTCCAGAGCTCCTTAGAGGATGGTATTGTTCACTTTATAAAACATATCTTCCTATGTAGGGAAACATCAAAGAAGTATTTCCAGATCCACTGAAACATCTTTCACATAATAATACAGTGGTGATATTAATCATTAATAATAATAATGTTTTATGTACATCACAAAGTGACTTCCATTCATTAATAAGAATCATTGCATTTTCCTCAAATTTTTCCAGTGGTTAGTAACTAATTACAAGTTATAAGTAATTAGTAATTAGTAATAAGGCTGTTTGTAACCCAGAGACTACCTGTTACTATTAAGCAGTGGCTTGGTCCATTCTTCATGCTTATTGAGTATCTTGAACAAGCAAACATTATGGCACTTATGCTTACCACATCCAATTGTAATTTTAAAAACTTAACTCCACTCTTCCCACCCTACGCAAAGGAAAAGTCACATATGCCTGAAGACTTGCCTTGTGGTCATTTCCCTGAGCACAGTGTTGGTTGGACACAGACATTAGACTTTTAGTACATTATTATTGATCTTCAACCACCAATTTACTTTAAATAGAACAAAATCCAACATACACAAATGTGTGAGCACGGTACCTATGAAACACCAACTTTAACAATTATAAACTCATGACCATTTTGTTTATAACTCTTAGCCTAGCGCCCCTAAATTACACTGAAGCAAATAAAAAATAAGTTCATTTCTATAATAGAGCTTTTAAAATTTTGTGGAATAATGGAATTTAAAGAGAATGAAAATAATTTTTGTGAACATTTTGAAACCCCCTTGTACTTCGGAATGTATTTCTATAAGATAAAATTTACTTCTTCAAAATTATAACCACAGTGCAATTATTGCATTTAAAATCCTACAATAATTCCTAGTATCATTAAATATCCACCATTTCCTCCAAGTATATTTTGAGAAATCTGTTTGGCGCCTGTATGTTCTTTCTTCTATTTTGAAACCGTGGAGCAAACAGGAAAGGGGGGGAATCTAGGAAACTGCATAAGTAAGCCTCACAGAGCCTGGAAGTCCCATATGAGAAAAAAAGAAAGAAGAAAAGAAAAAAAATTACCTGGTTTGGGAGAAATATATTCTAATACTTCTCCCGAGGTGGGTTCGACTTCAGCACTGGTGACTCTGGAGGAGGTGCAGAGAGGAGAGGGGCACAACCCCTGTTGGGGGTTCCAAACTTCAGGATAAACCCTCCTGGGAGCAAAGAGACAGTGCTTTTTCGGAGGTTTAGCTTCTCCAGTGTTTTCAAGTGGGAATGTGGATCTCCCAGAGGCGCAAGGTTGGTCCCCCATAAGGACTGTAAGACCTGAGAGTCTTTGGGGTGCCCAGATGATGCAGAGACCTGAGATGGTGGCGGGTTCCCTCCAAGCACAGAGCTGGCTTCCTCCTTGTTTTGCTCTTACCATATTTCCTGTATTCTGAGAAGTATAGCCCCTCTCCGCCCCCACTCCCGTTCCCTACCCCATCCCATTTTAACGTTTTCTCAAGGATAGACCTTTAAAAACTATGTGTATGTTTTATATAATCCTCCATTGTGCTCTCCCACCACCACCAAATGTAACTAAATCTATGGATAATTTTATATAATCTATGCAATTTTAAGGTTAGCAGAAATTCAGATTTACCCTTAAGTGGTAACTTTTGCAATAACTTGTAACTATATTGTGTAAGAATGGTGAGGTGAAAGTGAAAGTGAGGGTGGGGAAACCAAAGAAATTATTTAAAATCCAAAGGGTTTAGAGTCCCTTTTTAGGTGCATATCATAGTGCCATTAAAACTGAATAGGACTATTCAAAACCAATATACAAACATACCAGTTGACTATAGTTTAGAAAAATAAATCAGCACTGACCATGGAAATTGAATGTGGAAAATAAATTCACCAAATGTCACAGATTGTTTCTTCATATTTTAACATATTTAAAATCTCTAAAATATTACAATTTTTATATTTATTTTTTAAAATCATTTTATTGGGGCCTCTTACAGCTCTTATCACAATCCATACATACATACATACATTGTGTCAAGCACATTTGTACATATGTTGCCATCTTCATTTTCTTTTTTTTTTTTTTCTAGTTCAAAGTGGGTTTTTATTAACGAGTTTTCAAGATACAGATAGTTTCAACCATAAATTTATTTTCTGTTTAATTGCTGTATTAGAATCACATTTCGGACTTATTGTTGGGGTACAGTCAATTCTCTGTCAAAATTAAACTAGATTAGATGAAGAATGTGGCAACAGAATTAGAGGAAAGCTTATGAACCACCTGGAATTCTCAGTTGACACAACCATTTTCGCTGAAAGTGAGGAGCCCATGAAGCACTTGTGGAAGATCAAGGCATGCAGCCTTCGGTATGCATTACAACTCCATGAAAATCAAACCAAATCTTCACAACCGCACCAATATGGAATATCATGATAGAGGAAAAAATTGAAGTTGTCAAGATTTTCATCTTGCAGGAATCTACAATCAATGGTCATGGAAGCAGCAGTCAAGAGATCACAACTGAGCCGGAACCAAGGCTTGCATACCAGCTTCAGGCATTAGTGTGATCTTCCACAACTAGTGCTGCTTGGTCTTAGGAGGACTGCCTGCGAGCATGGGGCTGGGGCATGCGGGTTGTTATTTGCCTCTGGGCTCGTTTTCCAAATGATTTGTGAAACTGTTTATAGATGATGAGAAACTAAGGGGCCTTTTACTAGGGTTTCATAGCTATTTGCCATAACATATTTTACCTTCTCATTAGATTCCTCAGTTTTATTTCT